CCAACCAAGTCTTGCAAAAAGCCTAGTGTCTGGACAGCAATGGTCAGATCAAAGTGACCCAGCAGAGCAGGTGCAGAAGAGAGCAGGCATCTTCTTCCCACCACTGTGCTTTGGTTGGAATTGTTGCAAAATTTAACACTTCTGACAAACATTTATGTTCATATGTGACCAGAGAGCTTGAAGAGATGCACTGTGCTGCCCAGTGAAGGGGACATGCAGGTTGTGTGTGGGCAGGGGAGGCTTTGCTGGCTTCAGTCTGGGGTGGCTTGGACCACTGAGTTGCACAGCCGTAGAAGGTAGAAGTTTAGAGAGGGGACAGCAGGAAGCTTCAGAGTGGGCAAGGCTTGAAGCAAGCTTGGAGGGCAGCACTTACCACTGAAAGAAGGGCTGGGAGCACAGGTATTGCCTCTTGCTGTTAGATTTCCTGCTGTTCTCAGGACTTTGGACTAACAGGACAACGTCAAAGAATCCTGCAGATTGACACCTCTGGGCTTTCAGGCTTAGAATTCTGGTCAGGATCTGGTCAGCAATCTCCAGGTAAGATCATTCTTCTAAATACTCAGAGGTTAAAAAGGAAACAAACAGAACTGTCAGTGTGGATCTCTACCACAAATGTTGAAGACCACACTGTGCCCCTGGAAAAGATGAGGCTTTTCTAGGGATATTTGCTACTCCTACCTTTTGTTAATGGGTACGCTTTTGGGGTCAGGTCTCTGGGTTCCCTTTGCCGATTTCTAGAAGCACAGTGCTGGTCCTGGCCCCTTCACTCTCCTGCTGTTTCTGGGGTCTCAGTTCATCTGTGATAGCTCTTAGCTTTACATGGTTGTTTCTAATCAAGGGCATGGTAGCTAGAAACAGCATTAAGTCAGGGAATATGAATGAAAACTGTGCATGAGCATGACTTAAGAAGTAAAGGCCTGAGCCCATTTAAATCAATGGCCCATTAACTTCAGTGGGCTCAGGATTTCACCCTGTTCTTTTAGCTTAGCCAGCTTCATGCTTGAGCGGGCAGGGCAGATGTCTTCACCCTGTCCAACGGGCCATGCTGCAGATTGTTTTCCTGTCCAGGCTGACACTCTTGGAAGTCTCAGCCTGTTCCAGCTGCAGTGTGGTTAGAGATACCAACCACAAACATCTCGCATGCACTGAAAGTCATAATGGTTTTGCATTAATTGCTGACCTGCTTGTCCAAAAGACATGTCTGAAAGCACAAGCTGTCTTGAATTTCTTACGTTTGTCATCATGTTTCATGACAACTGACATGAATCTAAATCTGCCCTAAAGAGGCTTTCTATGAAGTGACTACCTCCCCTCATAGAAAATACTATGTCAATGGTGTCCATTGATGCTGCAGGAGTGGATTGCTCTTATTCTATCAATAGAATGAAAATGATACTGCTCTCATGCTGCTCTCCTGTACCACATACAGCACACTGCAAAGGCAAACCTACTTGTCTTTGTGCTTCAGAGCACAAAGTTGTGGACTGCAGGGAGAGGAAATGCCAGGACATCTCTGGGAAAATCTCAACTGATACTATAAAGCCAAAACTTATTCTCTCCTTTGGGAGAAACAAGGAAAACAAGGCACTGCAGGTGGGCGTATGTCTCAAACTGGGTAAAATAAAAGCTCTGGACTGCTGGGAGGACTTGGTCTGACAGCAATGATGAGAGTCATCTGCGTAATCAGACCTTACGTGTGGAACTTTAATTCTGTGTTCTCCGGAGTTTAAGGATTTTTATTCTGGGGGGGGGGTCTCAATCCAATAAAATATAATAGAGTACCAGACTGATAAAAATCTACATGCTTGGTAATTTGGTGGAACTGAAAAACCATTGAAACTGAAACAGGCCATTTCTGTCCAAATCCTTCTGCTGGTAGAGGTTTGGGTAAATGGCCTAACTCTGCAGCGTGGCTGAAAGTAAAACCCCTACAACACACTGGGAAAAACAAAACCAGATGATTTCTTCCTTTTCTTAACTCTTCTGTTCATTTAGCTTACTAGCAGGGATGATCACCCAGATTGTTAGCTCCCAAATACAGCTTTCTTGTTTGCACTCATAGGTTCCTGCACTAATCTGATGAAAAAAGTAAGACATAGCACAGATTTTCATGCCCAACCAAAGCAGCTTGCAGTTCAGTATCGAGTTCTCCTGGTGAATTGCTGGGAGCAAAACACAATTAAAAGGAGTTTCAAACCACAGGAATTTTGAGAACTGCAGCCTGTTTGAGACAGATCTCAAAAGGGGAGGGAGAAAGAAAGAAAATGCATCAAATTATTCATTACAGGCTGAACACTCACCTCAGGTCAGCAAGAGGCCCATTGTCTGATCCCAAATGTAACAACAGGCTGTAATTTAAAACAGCTTTTATTCATCAGTGAAAAGTTATTTCAGTGAGAATCTGGAGAAACCCTGTGCCAATTGTAAGCACTAAACAGTCTTCCCGTGTGAAGACATGGCTTGCAGTCTGGCTGTGTGTTGTGACACTAAATACAGTAAGCAAATGAGAGTGGGGTCTGCTACCAATTCAAGCAGTAGGTTTGCAATGGAATTAACCTTTTAAAAATGTAAAGTACTCCTTACAGCAGATGGTAGTGTTTGCATGTAGAAATACCTCTTGGAAATCATAATGTAAACCACATGTTCTGAAACCTCTGAGCTGAGCCCTTCATCATCCTGAAAATGAAAACTCACTCTCTTCCAGCTCACGCTGGTGGATGCTGCAGCAGGACCAGCTCCTGCTTGTGCTGGGCTGAAGAGGGCACAAGAAGAGTTAGAGGCAAAACAAGGAGTGGGGAGGGGAGCATTGAAAGAAGCAAGGGGATGTTGGGATGTACTAAAAGGTGGCGGTATTTCTCTGTCACTCACTGCTACAGGCTTAGGCATATATATATTAGCTCTAGAAGAGGGCTGCAAATAGGCTATGTTAGCCTATTTTAACTCTCCTCTGTAGTGCTGTGCCTTTATACTTTAAACCGGATTAAATGAATCCCAAAAATGTTTCATGCTGCTGTGGCTAGACTGCTTTTGGTCCCAGTGCCAGCTAGGGTGACTCTCTGCAGCATGTTACGAGACTTTGTATTCCTCTGGGTTGCACCAGATACAAGCATTTGCATCTCTTGAGAGCTCCTCAAGTTCCTCCTGTTGGCTGGCTCACTATCCATTCTGCTTTCCTATGCTAACACATATTTACAAGCATTTGTCCACAAAGCCTTAAAGTGCAAACGTTCTTAACAAGAGACAAAGATTCCAGAAGCTGCACCTTTAGGAAGTACACATAAGACAGCAGACCAGATCATCACTCAAGCAGAATTTGCTCAAAAAGCAGGTCGGTCTTTTCCTCCATACATTCACATTTTGCCAGGAGCACAAACAAACTGGGGCCATGGTGGAATAGTGAACACTGGGGTAGTTCTGTCCTGCGGCTCACACAGATTTGTGGTGCCAAGTTCCTCAGAGCTATAGGGCAGATGTCAGTGGCAGGCAAAAGAGCTCCCACCTCAGGAGCCATCAGCCTGGCGGCTCTTTCAGAGGTTGGGCTGCTACTCAGAACCCATCCTGTTCCCTGTGGAGACTGTGCAAGGCTTAGCCCTTAAGCAACAGAGCTGTGTTCAGTGCTTGCCTGTGACTTTGTTCTCACTTGCGGTTTGTGTTACATACTGGTCCGTTGTGGGAAATGCTTATTTTCAGTTGGTGTCTGCCAACATTTTAGGGCTTGTCTTTGCACACCAGCGATGTGGAAACTACTCTGCACTCTACACCTATGGGGATATGAAAGTCTAATCTTGAATTCAGTGCTGTTTCTAGCTTGTGTTAGACAACACCTGAGATGGGAAAGACTTGAGATTGTGCAGTGCATCATCCTCCTTGCTCTGAATAACACATCTGGGCTCACAACGCTCATCTGTCACTACCCTCCTCCTGCATCCCACATGGGATGACAGCAACACCGGTAACAACCCCAGGCTGCTCCAGGACATCAGTGCAGCTGACTTGCTTCACTCTAGGATATATTAGCAAACGTTAATTTTGCCTCCCCTGCCATGCCTGATGCACCTGCAGCAGGACAGAGCCTAGGTGCCTTCCTTTGTCTCTTACTCTCTATATCTGGTCTTTACTGAGCATCAGTTTGACCAATGAAATGGCCTCAGGACCAGTTTGTGTGCATCCCAACTGATGTTGGAGTAAATATCTTGTGTTGCAGTAGGACTATATATGGAGACGGTCATGTGTGAGGTGTATTGAAGTCCATCAGTGAGAGAAAAATTGCATGTAGGAGCAAATCATAGAATTACAGAATAGTTAGGGTTGCAAAGGACCTCAAGATCATCCAGTTCCAACCCCCCTGCCATGGGCAGGGACACCTCACACTAAACCATCTCACCCAAGGCTTTGTCCAGCCTGGACTTGAACACCGCCAGGGATGGAGCATTCACAACTTCCCTGGGCAACCCATTCCAGTGCCTCACCACCCTTACAGGAAAGAACTTCCTCCTTATATCCAATTTAAACTTCCCCTGTGTAAGTTGTAACCCATTCTGAAGTCCATATTTTCTAGTTTTTGAGAGTTTCTCAAGTAAGATGTTTCCCTTGGTCAAGCCAGCAGCTCTTTAAGAATACTCTCACAAGGCATTAAAAAAAAACCCTCCTTCTCCTACTACCTTCTGTCCCTCCCCTCCTTCCTTCTTGAAGTAACCAAAATAAGCGAGAAATGAGAACAGACAGAGCTGACACTTTTCAAGACAACATCCTGTTTGCTAGACTGGATCAATAAAAATCATTTTGCTACACAGAGGTGTAACTTAAAATATGTCCTGAGCAACTTCAGAGCAGAAAGTTGTAAGGGAAGCAGCATCTGATGAAAGCAGGCCTTGAGAGTGGCAGTCTACTATAACATACAAAGAAATTCCTGTTAACAGTATTTGGCAGCTGGTGTAGAACACATTAGGACATTTTAGTTGGGTTTTAAAGACAGAAATTGATACAGAAAGAGGTAATGATTTTGGTTTTGTTTTTAATAGAGGATCTGTCTAGGGGTTTGTGTTCATATCACACACATTCACTTGATTACATTTTATGGGATGGGCTTTAAATGCCAGTACATACAAGACAATGTTTCATTATTGGAGTTTGTGTTTATTCACTTGCCATTGTCAGTCTGCTCCCCTTTGACTTCTTCTGCTGCTCTTTGTAAAAGCTGTGATTTATGAATATGTGGTTTAGATCCGTCACAATAGAGTGTGGAGAAGTGGTTCAATAAAAAGTTATTAAAGCAAAAAATCCATAGTTTCATGTGCTTTTCCCAGCTTCTGTAGGAACCTCTAGTAAGAGACTCTTACCCTAAGCAAACAACTGTGTGCATGATACTGTAACATAAGCTACCTGCTCAGTCAGAACTCCTGCTGAATGCTGGCTACTGCAGGCAATGACAGGTTTCCCTAATAGGACTGCAAGAATTCACCCTCAAAGTTATGAAGGCTGCATAGACCAAAAGGAGGGGAAGAGGGGGAAATCTGCCATAGAATGTCCATTTTAAAGTTGGGAAATAAAGACTACCAGCAGCCCTAAATGGCATTTGGTTTTCAAATATGTGTGCTTGCCCCATACTTATTTTTAAAACAAAGCTCTCAGTCCTGCTAATCGCAGGATAACCAAACCTGACCAGCAGTTCCCAGAGCCCAGCTGGATTTCTGCAGAAGCCTGACACTGTTTCAGCCTAAAATAGCGAGTGAAAGGCTGATTTAGATCATTGTAGGTCAGCCCGACACAGATTTTCACCCAGTAGCACTGCTGACTTGCCACAGCTGCACAGCCACATAAAGGAGGGGACGACATACTGGCCACTCTTGCATATGGCTAGCAAGGAACAAGAGCTGCTTCTGGCACTGGAAGCTGAAGGAGGCACTCTGCAGGATGAGAAAGAATTTGCGAGGAAGACACAAGGATTTGTGGTAGAATCTGTTCAACTGCACCACAACAGTGCAAGAGATGTGTTACAGAACAGTCGCTGCTTCTATTTGGTGTTCCTGAATCTCTGAAAAAATGCAGCTCTACAAACAAAACCACCCTCTGTATCTCAGGAATGGATAACTGCAGCAAGTGAGGGTCACCTCAAGGAGTCAAACAGGTGTTGAAAACAATGAGGCATACCACTGCGCCGATGCCAGCCACACCAAACCCCCTGATCTGGCACTACATTACCCCAGGACAAGGAAGCAGAATGCATGGAGCCTGCACAGGGCACACTACTGCTGCCTTTGGTCCCCTTGAACAGAGGAGCTATTGAGACTGCAATCACAGTTGCTCTGTTATCTCTGGCAAACAAAGAATAACAGCTATAATCCTACATCCTCTTGGAGAGCTAAATTACAAGGTTCCATCCTGCCTCAGAGTACACAAAGATAATTTTGCCACCTATAGTGTTCTGCGGCCTGCCTCATGCAGTCCTGCACACCCATCTTCAGCCAGGTGAGAGGCTGGATGCTGGAATGAAGAGCAGGTATGAGCAGAAGAGCCCAATACAGCCACTCAGCTGAACAAGCAGTTGTCCAGTGTCAACATTGCTAATGCTGAAGCACCAAGGCTTTGCACCTTGCATACCTCATACTCTTTCTGTACCTCAGGAAGCACAACACAGCAGTTTGTGCACATTGGATTCACTGAGGGTAGATACCAGGTTAGATACCTGGCAAGATTCCTCTCCTACTGAAGTAGGAGAATGAAGCCACTAATTTCTACTAAAAATATAGGTAGTAAGCCCAATAAAACACATTGGCCAGCATGAAGAACAAAGGGAAAAGCAATTTGGAGTAGTGGTCTACATTGCTGGGGTTCTGAATTGTGAAATAACCAATAATCCTGTGCAGTTTGTTTCTCAAGACACGTTTGATTTTCTCATGAGTTTTCATGGTCAAGTCATTGCAGTTAACATTATCACTGGAAATCTCAATGCTTGTAAAGCTGATTTTCCGTCTGTAGCTGGTGAGGATGTTAGCAATGTTGACCTCTGCCATGTCTTTAGTGAGTTCATTTGAAGGCCCCTAGGAAGAAAGAGTATGCAGTTAGTTTTAGGACTTGTCTTCTCCTGCAGAGAAGTGCTTTAATCAAAAAGGAGACCATACAGGTAAAGATAAAACCACAGCTTCATATGTGTTCATCCAAACATTCAGAGGTGCCTTTCAGCTGCTGCCTATTTTTAGGAGTGTCTGAAGTCCCAGAGATGCCTGTGTTTCCACCATGGTATTTCTAGAGGTATTTTTGAGATCTCTGAACAAGTCTCACTCTATGTCACTAAGCACCCCAACATCCATCTCCTACAAGACATCCATCTCTTCATGTCTGTGCAGTAACTTAATGGCTGGGGAACTCAGCATCAAGGTGGGAAACCCCTTTTTCCTCTGACAGGATTTGGACCCTTGACCACTGGACTATAGCCATACTACTTGATTTCTCACGATGAAGCAGAGCACTTTGAACAATTCATTCTCATACCCCCACCCCCAGAACACTGTGGGACTGATGTTTGGTACTGTCTTCTGGGAAGGGAGGAAGAAGGGTTAATGGAGGAGTAATCTTAGAAAGATCCAGGATAACTGGGCTTATTTAAGGTAGATCAAGCTTTACCTCTTGAGGTGTTTTAGCTGCACACTTTTGTGATGAGCTGTAGTGAGCCACTGCATATTCCACAAGGGCACCAAAGATGAAGCTGAAGCAGATGCCGAGGTAAACATCAATGGCCTTAATGAAACAGTTGGTTTTTGAAAGTGAACTTCGTGACCCAATCATCAGAGTTGTCATGGAAAGCACCGTTGTTACTCCTTGGAAAGCAGAAAAGGAGAGATCTTTTGGGGTCACTTTGGAAAAGGCTTGGCCTATCCTTCTTCAAATGTCACTCTCTATTGCTTGCCAGATAGAGCACATCACTTACCAAATCCAAATCATCCATCAGTTTAAAAGCTTTTGTAGTGCTAGCTACTAGCTCCACTCAGTCTCTTCCTGCCTTTGACACCTTGGCTCCAATGTGCATTTGGCTCTTATTTTTCTTGCTTTCAGTAAAAAAATCCTCCCCTCCCTGCCCAAAGCACATCCCAAATAACATGTGCTCTACTTCCTGCTGTGCATCTGCTGGGAGCCTCAGCCATACCCAGCTCTACAGGTGGGCAAATGTACTGGCCACAGCACATCCTCCATATTGCTAACCCAGCTCTACCGCAAGTAAAAGAGAGAGTGAACAGACCGTTTATCACTGAGAAGAGAACTCAAGAAAACAACCATCTACCCAGCCCTCAGAGGCTCCCTTGCCCGCCCTTGGGCAATAACTCACCAATGCACGTCCTTGCAGGCACTGAATCTAATGTGATCCAAAAAGAAACCCAGGACAACATGACGAGCAGAGTGGAGGGCACATAGGTCTCCAAAATGAAGTAAAGGACATTTCTCCTCAGCTCAAACTGCAGGATCAGTCGTGGGTAACTGCCTGTTCATGAAAGGAAGAAACTCTGAACATGAGGTCCCAAGGACACTTGGACTGATGCTGGGATAGCCTAGCACCAGCCTTCAGCTGATGTACATCAGCAGAGCTGCACTGAAATCAGGGGAGATGCATTTCTTACACAGCTTGACTTCTTGCCTCAGAAGTTTTACTTATCTAACATACCCTAGACAAGAGGACACATGCACACAGCATTGTTTGGCAAGAGACATCTAAAACAATGTGTGGCTTGCAAGGGGGCTCCTGAACTTAATCCACAGTGGAAACATTTTGTACCAGTGTCTTAACTCAGAGGAGAGGATGGATGATGTTTTTATCTGCTCTTATACTCGGCACAACACATTTTCTCCACTGTGGAGGGACATTGCAAAGTTCAGTCTTATCTGGTGGCTGAGAAATAACACAAGATTTTTATCTCCATTCCAACAGGCTCTGGCTTACATCCAATAGCATCCGATACCTTATCATCAGAGGGAATTAGACCCCTGCATGCATTATTTGTTATCTTTGATACCCATGTCTCTTTGTGCTCAAAAAAAATCAGTCACTTGTTTAAACTCCATTTTTCAGCTGGGTTACTGGCATTTTCAGGAGATATTTCTGCTCTTGAAACAATAGTTCCCTTTGAAACATAGAAACAAACCCTGTGTTGTCTGTGGGCTGTGTACACTACAGTAAACAACAAAACACTTATGTTTAGAACCTGGTCATTCTGAGGAAGTCTTGCCCCTATTCATAGTGGCTGTGATTGGAGAGAAGAGTATTTACACTGATAATGAAAAAGACATTGAATTCTGATGTACAAAGGGATCTTATTTCATCAGGACAGAATTGTAATTTACAAGCAAAAGTATATTTTAACAGTTACTTTTACTCCCAGTTACTGTGAACATGGATCTCTGCACACCTGGTAGGAGGGGACAGGTTTTTTTGGTGGATAAGGAAAGAAGTGGAGATAAAAGAAGATAATTCCAAATCTATCAAGTGAATATAGTATATCAAAATCCCCATCTTTCCATGGACTTCCGTCTTACGCAACATCCTGATTGCAACTAATTGGATTTCAGCATGTTTCTGCCCATCTCTTTTTGTGAGATTAAGATTTGCTAAAGACTTCACATGTTCAAGCCCAGAGAAGGGAAGGGAGCTGTGAGGAGAAATAACCTGAGAGCTTTTCTTGCTTTTCTCTTTCACTGATATACCTGTTTCCTGCTGGGTCTTTGAGACGAGGGTGTAGTAACGTTCCACCGTGTACTGAGAGAGACGCAACTTTTCTATGCCATGGACAGAATCGTTTCCTCTCAGCCACGTGAAGATGACGTCGTTTTCATCATATCCCCCTGAGGAGAACATAAAGACCCATATTACTGTGATTTAGCCAGGAAAAGCCCAGCTACTGCCCTGCCCTGTCCCCTGAGTGAGAACAGAAACGCAATCCAGGCTGGACAAAGACCCTGTTGACTGTGTTGGACCATGGGTAGAGGTTGGCTGTTCTTTCATTGCTGTACTTTCAATCTGCGGGTTCAGACACTGGGAATGATGCATAACATGCAAGGCAACAGAGAACCTATTTCAGTTGTTTACATGGGGTATTTGTACTTTAAAGTATTTTAGCATTTTAGAAAATAACACATTCCTGTCATCCACAGTTTGGTAACATGCAGTAGGATAGATAATACATGCAGTGATAACCCCTTGAATATAGTCTCTTCAGTCAGGAGAGGAGGAGAAACCCAGTGGTAAGAAAACAGAGGATACAGATCCCCCTGAGCTCCTTACCAACTGGCAAGGGCACATTTCACTGAACTATCTATTCAAATGCTTAAAAATAGCAGAAGAGGCATTTTCAGGTAGTCAAGAGCTTGGAGCTGAGGCTGCTGTGTGGTTCTGAACCAGGCTCAATGCCTCGGTATGCACTGCCCATGAGACTTCTTCATTCCTCCTATCCCTAAAAGCTGTAAGTTACAGAAGGCAAATAATGCATCTGACATTTAGGTAAGGCTGAATTCCTGCCTCAAAATGGAGGGACACACGAGATCAACAACTGAAGCAGTTATCAGTAAACTCCATATATGGCAGCTAAATAATCGTCTCCAGGAATGTAAGTGATGGCATTACGTGACCTCAGGTTGGACTGAGGAATAAAGCTTGTATGGAGCTGCCATTCGCTTCAAAAATATCATTCCATTTAGGATCTCACCAATTGGATTCTTTTATTAAGTGCTCTGCTTTGAGAAGATGAGCAGGGATGCTTGGATTCTGATAATAACCTCTTTGGCCTGGTAGAAGGAATAAGATGCAGTTGCAGCTCTGTTTTTATCTAATTGTGGTTTTTTATTAGATAAAATTATCAGCGCTTGAGTGTGATGAACTCCTAAATGAGGTGTCCAGGGTATGAATCCCAGTGTAGAATCCTCAGCATGTGACTTTGGAAAGTTTCTAAGCAGTTTTATACATTGTGGTTACTCAGGAAAATTTTATAATAAATGATAGATCGTTGTTAATTCATCTGGTGTGTGTTTAAATAGCATTATTTCTGGGCACTTATCCTAATGAAATCTCCAGTGGGCAATGTGCATGTAATTTCATTGGAATTATACCACAACTGAGCATGATGTAGGACCCAATCACTTTTCAAACAGTCACAAACATGTCGTGCTTTAGCAGAAGAGGCCAATCATTGTTTTTTCAGGAGCTATTCTTTGTAATAAAGTTAACTATGGTGAACTAATAGGATTTTAATGTGAAAGTAATATGTGCTTCCCTAGGTGCTTCGTGCTGCAACCCCAGAAGTTAAAATCTGGCCTTTTCACTACTGAGATTTTTGTGACATGAAGTGGGAGATGGTTGCTTGCTTGTTCCGGAGCTGTACAGATATGGAAAAGCAGCACTACTCTTGCTGAGCTCCTGGCTACAAGCCCTGGAGTGGCCCAGCTTGTCCTGGAGTCCTTCCCAGCAAGCTTTCCTGAGAATTAACTTTTAATTTAATGGAGAGCAGAACTCACTAATTATTCCTTTTTTTTTTTTTTTTTTTTAAGGCTTCCAAGGCTGAGACTCCTTGTGTTTAACCAGAGTCCCATCACCTGTGTTGCTGCAGCAGGCAGGCTTCAGGGAGAAGCACATACCATGACGTTGGGTTTGCCTTAGTTTCTGTTCATGTGTTGGAGAGTTTGTTCAACTCATATTCTGGTAAGAGCCACCCTTCACACTGTGTTGTTGCAGTGGAGGTTTGGGAAAGGCAAAGATGGTGCCTTGCTGTACTCTGTCCCGTGCACTTACCTCACCAGTTAGTTTTGAAGAAGCTGTTTGGGCAAAATGGACCAAATTTGGCAGATGCTCTGTTGTTACTTCATCCTTTCTGTTGAACAGAATTGAGCGATCTACACTTTAATATCTTTTTATATAAATTGCAGTGATAATCTGAACTCTGGATTACACCACAGATGAAGAACGATGAAGCAAAGTTGTTTTCTTTCGGACATTAATGTTTGCGGGAATAAGAGTCTACTCCAGAAAGCCACTGGGATCAATCCATATACTCAAGTTGCATAGTGACATATGAATAAATGAATGATTTTTCTAGAATGCTACACTTACAGCTTTCTAGCTGCAGTCTGCAGGTCTGCGTGTCCATGGGGTATTTTGACAGGTCCATGTTACAAGCAACAGTTGTAGTGATCCTGTAGGAAAAGAAGGAACTCTGAAAGTTGCAATAAAACCATGTAATGAAATAGCTGGTTTTTATAGCAATATAGACCACAAAGACTCTGCTCTGGTTTTAAATGCCCTGTCATTTAGATAATTTTGACTTATGTAATGAGTGGATTGATATAGTGCGGGAGAACCCTCCATAGGATGATGTGTTCTCTGCAGCCCACTGGTGAAAATGTAACCAAAGGAGGAATTTTGCTTTGCTATGGTGGGAGATTTAGTGTAGATTTACGTGTTTTCCAGTGCTAGTTTGCATCTCATAATAAGTCACTGCTTGTTACCTGAGGCACAGTAAATGACTGCACACATACTCCGGCTTGCTTGAATGTGGGTTGTAAATGAGTTTTACTTTGCAGTTAAGGTAACTGGGACACAGTTACCATGAGCTGAGAAGACATAACACTGCATGATTTCCTAACACAATTACAGAACACAGCTCTGCAGTATATTTACAAGTACACTTTCTGCTAAAAAGAAGAAATCATGGCTACATGCACTGGGTAAAGAGTTTCCCACTGCCTGTTAAACTTTCACTGTTATGATACCCTCCTTCCATTCCTGTCCTGCCTCCATCTGATTTGACTGGACTTCTTTAGGGTAACACCTCAACATGTGAGCTTTGTGAGCAGGCACTGTGCTCAGGACACAGCACGTACCATGGTGGGGAATCCTGAGCCTTGACTGGCGTTTCCACGTGGCCCAAAGAGGGGGTAACAGATCAGAAGAGTATTGTCACAGTTGGCTTGTTGATCCCAAGCTCATTACCGGAGATAGCTGGTATCTGCTTCTGTCCAGTGTAATTCTAGAAATCTATCCTGACCCATCAGCAGCAGCAAAGCAAAGGTGGCTTTACCTTAAGGCATACAAGATAGTGCCATTAGAGAACAATCTTATGAGGCGGTTCCCCACGGTGACATCGTGCAGGAAGGACTTTTTGGACTCCACAATGTAGGTGTCTGGTACCCAGAGCAATTCCACCAGCCGAGCATCCAACGTGAAGCTCTTGTTGCCGTGAAAGACCAAGCGGGGGTCTGTCCAGCGCTGCCGCAGATAGATGGTAGCTGTGTAATCCTGTGATTACAGAGAGGAAAAGCTGTGAGGATGCATGTCCAGCACATCTGCATGGTGCCTCTGTGTGTGACAAGTGGCAGAGCACAAATTTAACCTATCCAAGCTCAGCTTCAAATACATGCAGTAAATCTGATTGGTGGGTTTTCATCATAGTTTTATTTCCTGTATCACATTTCTCACATACTTACACTCTAAGGTAGCGTTTGAGATCTAAAGATCATACTCATATACTTTTTCTAATGAGCTGTTACTGTAACTGATATTTTGGTGTCCATTTTGCAGGTAAGAAAATAGATAGGAAGTGGACACATTCAGCAAGTCATTGACATTAATAATCACTTGTTGTCTAGAGCTGGAAGATTACACACGTACTATAAACGTGATCATGAAAGACATCAGCACTTTGGAGAACAAAAGGTAATCAAATCCAATGTGTTATTTCACTGAGGTCTTAACAAGCCCAAGCAAATAACCCCCCCAAATTTGTAGCATCTTTTTTAATTGGAGTTTTGTATCTAAGAGCATTAGGATTAACTTGAGGTCAGTCTGCCAAAACCTACATGCAGTGACTGGAGCATTTTTACAGTGCCCTGTCATAAAAGAATAATCACAGTACTTAGCTCTAAAGAGAATTCTTTACTGAGCTGCTGGACAGACCCATGGCATTGATGCCCTATTTCACTTCCTTCCTTGTTGACAAAGTAAATGCAGCCAGTTAATGCCTTTCATTTTCCAAACATCTTGTCACAGGCAGACTGATGCTGGCGATGGTGCTAACAGTGTGAGGTCACTATGTTTCACCACAGATAATGCTGCCAGTCTGTGGAGGATGAAGCAGTCCTGTTTAATTTGATCTGTTATTTGTAAAATGCTGTAAGAGAAAAGGTCTGAGTAAATACCTGGTATCAGCTTTAGCTCTTGCAACTTTTAAAACTTTACTGCCTGTGACAGAGGAAAAACCATGTCAAATAACGCACTGTTATGGCTGCCAGTACAGTGAATTCTAACAGTGACTCAAGTGAAGACTCTTGGTTGATTTTCCAGCTTTTATTGAGGCACAGAGTAAGCTTCTGTAGTGTTTTCCATGCGGCAAGAGCAATTTAGATGGACCATTGAGAACAAAAGCTCCAGAACAGGAGCTGCTTTACAAGGCCCTTTACTCAGGTTAGAGGTATGTGAATAATTGATTCTGCTGGTTCCCCCCATCCCCAAAATGAACAATATTTTATTTAGTGAACTTGTTTAATTTGCTGGGGGAGAGGATAAGAAACAAGCCAGTAGTGTTCATGAAAGTGCTGGTATTAAGTTTTGACATTGTTCCTGATTGAACTTTTATGTGAAACTATTTACTGCATTTACCTAAGTTGCCCATAGTTTTGGTGAACCCGAAACAGGAATTTTCAGCAATCAGTATTTGAAATCCAGCTGTTACCAGAAGTGGAAGAAATCACACTCAGCACTGCTGGGAAAATGTTTTCTGTATATTGGAAACTGTGGTTTTTTTTTTCTCTTGGGATCACCAGACCTTTGAGCTCAGCATGTGTCACAGCTCAAAACCTCATTTCTCCTCCCTGAGAAGAAACCCTGTCTGTGTCTTCAGTCAGCAGGAGCACATCCAACAGAGGCCTACCCTGCACAGAGAGCTCCTGCACAGAGGAAAGGTAAAGGACACAAAATGTCCCACAGGAGTGACTTTTGCAGTTTCCAAGAGGCCCAGTTTCCAGGAGGTGCTGAGGTTTTGCCCAGTAGGACCTTTGAAGCCATCTATATTTACTTAGAAGCCCACATTACTTTGTTACCTTTGCAGTCTGCAGCCATAAATGAGCTGTGTCCTCATCACACTTCTGAAAGTGATCAACAGACACAGAAAAGCAAAGCAGCTTGAATATGACAGTTTCTGGGCTGAGCACACAGGAATATATGACAAGTTTCTTGGGCAGATACTACTCTTATAGAATAAGATTTCTTTCACTTACCATGTCACTCTCAGATATACTGGAAATACTTGCAATGTCCAGACTCATTGCAACTTGAACAGGCTCTCCTGTGGAGGGAAAGAAAAGCTAAAGCAGAGTGCAAGGCACAATGAAACCACCCAGGGTTGTGTGCAGCATGGCACCCCTCCAGCATCACATGCTATCCCTAACACTGCAGAAGCCCATAGAGGCACAGCTCCAAAGCATTAGACTCACAAATGACATTGTGATCCAAAATGAAGTTGTCTCTGTTGGGGAGCTGGAGTCCTGTGTTTGGTGATGGGAGCAGAGAACAAATACCCACGAGCACCAGCTGGGAAGAGCAGCAGTTCCAGGGCACTGAAAGGCCACTTTAGATAAGCATTAGCCACAGGGCAGTCAGCCAGGGCCAGTCCGTCCCTTGTCACCCAGCCACAAAACCCACACAGTGGCAAGAACGGTCAACCGTGCTGTTTGTCACACAGGGCTCTGGGAGACCTCACAACCACGCAGTGATCACAGCCCTGTTTCTCAGAGGAGGAACACAAACAGGCAGAGAAAGTCAGTGATTCCCGAGGCCATGCACCGGGTTAAAGCGCAGAAATGCAGCAGCCTCTGTCTCTTTTTGGTTACTGTATTAACAGGTCTATTTGAAAGCAAGTTTTCAGCGCCCAGCCCGAGCCCCGGTAGTTCCCTGTTCCATCGCCGACCGGTAAAACCCACCACAGGAGGGCAGCTCCTGCCCAGGAATTGCCGGCGCTGGGGAGAGCTCTCCGGATCCTGCAGCAGAGCATCACAGCAGCAGGACAAAGCCTTTCCCTTGGGCTCTCTCGGGTTTGTCTAATCCGGGCTGAAGTCGGGGCGCTGAGTAGGAATGGCGCTTTCCAAGACATCCCTCGCTGCCGAGGTGACACCACGGCAAGGCCCTCCCTCGTGGGACGTGCTGAAACTCCTTTTGATAATCTGAACACCATTTAGGAAAGCCCAAAGGATGCAACTTCTAAATCTGCTTCCAGGTAGTTTTGTGGGGCTTTTGTTTGTGGTTTTTTTTTTAATTGATTTTTAATTTTTAATCAAACTATTTAAAAATCCAAAATGTAATTTCATTTCCAGATGGTAGGTATTTTTTACAGGAGCTGTCGTTCGTGTCTTCCATCTTAAGAGAGTCAAAGAATGGTTTGTGTTGGAAGGGACCTTAAAGCTCATCCAGTTCTAACCCCCTGCCATGGGCAGGGACACCTTCCACTAGAGCAGCTTGCTCCAAGCCCCTGTGCCCAACCTGGCCTTGTTTTCAGATATTTAGATATTCACACTTGAAGCCCACTCAAATTAATGACCGGGGTAGATCTATGAGGACTCAGGGTCTCTGGAGGAGGTCAAACCACAGTCCTGACTACTGTTTAGCATTTATAGTACTGGTAGGTGTAGGCTGGTGTAGATGCAAGTTAACCGCTGTTATGCAGTTCAGAAGCATCTGTATAGTGATGTGACATGATCTGGAGGAGCTTTTCCATCCTGCATGTGATCAGACGTTCTAGGCAAAACAAGATGGTAAATTCTGTATTGTCCCCAGTCAGAAAACGGAAGAAGCTCAAAGTTGCCAGTAGCAGAAGTCTACAGTCTGCCAGTCTGCAGGAAGTACAATGGGAAACATCTAAGTCCTGGTGAAAGCACATGGGGAAGTTTTTTATTGAGTGGAATTTCATTAATGGGTTCTGGCAAAAAAAGTAAAATTAAGTAAAAAAAAAAATTGTAACTGTTCTTTAAACTTTAATCAGTACTTGTCAGGTGGCGAGCATCATTCTGAGAAACTCCTTCCTCACAGCATTTACCTGGAGAGTGGGAAACCTGACACCCAAAGTGGAATAGCCTCATGTAGGCTCCTCAGGTTAGCTTCAGGTAAGCTCCTATCTAGCTGACTGTCCTTCAGGTGCTCCCTACAGTTTTATGAGGGCTTAAAGCAGGTTTACTTTGTGTCTCAGTGTGAAGTAAAATCATGTGTCAAGAGTCAGTATTTCTGGCAAGGAGAATTGCTTTACTCCTCTATTGCCACAGTCCACTAAATGCATACATTCGCTAAGTATATCCACGAGATACACATGAACCAGAATAAAGCAGAAAATCACAAGGGTCAGACTCTAAACAAAAGCATATACAGTTAGAGCTGAATTTAGCTACTTGTCAGGTCTTTCACAGAAGTATTGAGGCTTATCAATTCCCTGTTCTTAACCTCATAGATGGGGACATACTCATGTCCCACACATGCATGCACAATCTCTTCAGCACATCAGTGGATGTGCAGAGAGGAGGGCATCCCTGGCTACTGGCTGGCTTAAAAGAAACATGATCTTTTAAACTGGGGCATCCTAAAGAAAGCTGAATGCACACTCTCCCCTCCACACAAGCCTTACAGACTGTTCTTCAATTGGTCAAATGCTCAGCGCCAACGTACCACCAAAGTAGGGCCGGAGGTACTTGTTGTATCCGGTGGTGAGGTTCTCAAATCCAGGGAGGGATGCTGTGTCAGACGTGTGGCCCACGGAGCACCTCCTGGGGACAAAAATACGTAGTTACGTGTGGCTGGGCATGCCAGGCACATCTGGTGTGCAGCTGCAGCTGTGTTACCAGCTTGTGCTCCAGCAGCCAAACAAACTGCATACAATGTTTATTAAAAGGAAGTCGATCACTGAAATCACAAGCACTTGTGCTCATTGCTTGTCTTGGCTGAAAAGCCAGCATTCTGAAGAGGTGGAAAATGGCAAGTTTCCTCAGCTGACAGATACAGGTTTGCACACGTGGTAGCTTAAGGATGTTCTTAAGATGCCCCAGACAAATCAAGCAAGGTCTATATATAACAGGTCTTAATAATAACCCACAATCTCTCCCTCCCCTCATGCAGTCTGTGTAAGGAAAATGCATTTCTTTTTCCTGTCTGCTTTTGAGAACCTGAGACAAAAGTTACAGACCAACAGCTCCTCCTCCCTCATCACTAGTCCCCTAAAGAAGCTTTCATCCTCATGTTAGTGTCTGGCAGAGTGCCTGCAGCTACTCTCAGGAGTAAAACCTCCGAGTACACCAGAAGAGGAAAGGTAGAGCTTCACAGACACCAGCAAAGCTTTGTGGGCTGGAGGGCTGAGCCACCACAGCTGTTGTGCATACAGAGGGTTCAGCTCTCACTGACCCTGTCAAAATTCACGTTGGGTGGATGGACAATGGTGCTGTTACCTGGCATTAGGAGGTTGATGGATCTGTACAGGCAGCTCGAGGGTTGGGGGGGGACTGCAAAAGGTAAGTTCTCTGCTGCAGTGTCCCTCTGGGGCATGTGCTCACTTGGTGAAAATAAGGGAATGGTTAAGAGTTTGCTGTTGCTTTGTGAAGGGCCAAAGGAGGTGGAAGGCAGTGTCTGTGCCTCTCCCCAGCACCTCAGCACCATGGGGCTGTAAGAACTTAGCTGTGCAGTTATTCAAAGCTTTGATGATTTGTGTCTTCTGTTCCATTTCAAGTTGGGTTATTAGTCCTGGGAGCTTTGCTGTGAGTTTTAGACCAAAAAGGCCCTTACAGCAGAACTGAACCGGTTTGTGCACAGTATAAACATAAACCATTGCAGAAATTTAGGACTTATCGTTCCAGGGATGGCAGTAACACAGCTGGGAGCCCTGTGGGAGACACTTCCAGCCCAAACTGCAAGCTGCTGTGGTCCTGAGCAGGAAACGGGGGTTGCACTGTTAATGCGTCTGTTGTGTTTTGGGGGCCTATGCAGGTTGGTCTCTTCTACACTACATCCATTACAGCATTCAGCTTTCTTTGGATGGGTTGGATAATTGGAACCATAGTTTGCTTTTGACCCACATTACTTATGTGAGCTATAATTCAGCTGTTCCCTGTGAAACAAAACAAACACCCTGCTTACCTTTGGGTTGGAAGGAAAAGACACAGACTGAAGAAGCAGAAATATCTGCAGAACATCTCCAGAGGTTATTTCTGTATTTGCTGGGCTTCTCTGTGAAGCTGAAAGGAAAAGCAAAGTTTAGTGATTTAAGGAAGACTATTTTAAGGGAAGGGCACAGGGAAAAGAAGCCCTGCAGAGCCAGCACCATGTGTGATGTTTGACATTCCCAATACAGTGGCTCCTGCCCTTTCTTCTAGCCTGTGTCGCTGCTCCCTTAATACTTTCCACATGAGACACTAGTGACAGCTCCAGGTCTGAAGCCACTGACAAGGTCACCACATTTGAGCTGCCATTTTGTGGCAGCTTTTCTTCTTTCTGCACGGGATGGTGGTTAGCTGCTGTTGGGAATGGGAAGGGACTTGTTAAAGAAAAAAGGGTTCAGACAATTCCCAGGTGCTTTTAGACTCTAAAGCCAAGTGGAATCCTGCCCATGTATGACAGATCCAGCATCTTTTAGCGCAGGGCTTCACAAATCTGCACAGAAATGCTGCAGCCCTGCACCCCATTAGCTTGTACCTGGGATAACTCATGCTATGAACAGTGATGTTGGCAAGGCACTCGGCATGCAGAACTGGATGAAATCATTCCACTTAAAATGGGTTTCGTTGACTTTTCTGGGAGTGGAACCAAATCTTGGCTTCTGGCCCAAGACTCCAGGGGCTTATGCTGTCCATGGAGCAGGCACCACGGCAGTGCACTACGCTGCAGTGCAGCTCCCTGCCTGGAATGCTGCATCAGATGCACCCCTTTTCCCGAGCATCCAGAAAGCCTTCTGCCACACTGCCAGTGTGTGTTGCCACAGGACGGGATGGTGAGTATGACACTGCCGTAGCTGCCAAGGGGAGATGGTTACTCAGCCATCGTTAGTTTGAGCTGCACACACAGTACTGCCTGCCCTGCCTCACTACACTGTTGGAAGCGTACCCTGTGTGTCAGAGCTTTCCTGCAAATACAGGCAAGGCAACATCATCCTTGGATGGATTTGAGTCTTCTTGGTTTTTATGCTGTTACAAATTGGGAATGACTATGCAAATCTTTAGTCCCTGTACCTTGGCACCTCTGAGAGTAAGATCTCAGCTTCAGATTCAGAGCCTTCTCCATCACACAAACTGGTTAGGACCTCAACTTCAAACCTGGTTGTTCCGCAGCAACCCAAAAAGCAGGAATGTTCTGCTCAGGTTAGTTTCTTCCTGGCAGCTCACTGCAGTCCAGAGGCCACTCTGCCTTCTCCACTAGTTGTATGGATCTGGTGCTGTGCCATGGGGCAGCAGGGCTTCAGGCCAGGAGAACATCTTTGAGCATACAGAGCCACTAAAAGCATCTGAACATTCAAGCATCACAAATTCAGGAAATCCCACTGGAGAAAGGCTGTTGTTCAAAACCAGATACACTAATATGTGTCCAACATCTGAATTCCTAACAAGGCTTTGCACTTCTAGTCCTTCCTCTGAATACGATGTTCAGATGTTTCTAGTGCCGAGTGCTCCTCACTATAAGGTGATCATGCAGGGATAGAGAGGGGATCATCTAGTTGCCCAGAACAATGTCAGACCACAGTTCTGATGGGAAAGAAGAAGGATTAGTCCAGGTAGTTTAAAGCAGAACTTGGAGGAAGAAAAGATGAGTTTACAAATGGGCATTTAGTTCAAGTCTAAGAGGATTCATGAAGAGCTGAGGAACCCCTTTTTCACACAGGGACTGGCATCGCTAGAATCATGGTGCATGAGTTTTATTCTACCTGATCCTAGTTGCTAAGCCCTTCTTTTGAAAAAATAAAAGCAAGCCAAATTCTGTTTATTCTGACTAGTGGTTGGAGAGCTTGAGTAGTAAAAAGCCCTCCTGGGACCCTGTTGCCTTGTCAGGTAACTGAAAAGAACACTGCAGCATGTGCTACCATTACCTAGTGAAGACAGCTGGAGCAGACCAACTCAGGTAAATGCAGAGCTGCTGCCACAGGCAGTGAGCTGCACAGCCTCCATTCCTCCCCAACTCTGCTAATTCTTAGCAAAAGAAGGAAAATCTCGTTCTCCTCCTTCAGAGGATGGCTGTGAAGATAATAAATACATCAGAGACTGAAACAGTGACAGGGGGATCTGCAAGTACCCAAGAGAGCTAGAAACAAGGCATACCAAAGCACTCATGGGCAAGAAAAGGGGATATCGGTGCACAGAGCTGAGTGTATCCAGAGCATCCCTTTACTATGCAGTGTGTCAGTTAATACAGTTCAGTTCTGCTTTTAGAGTGCAGGAGTTTCGACCAGTTCTGTTATACAGCACACTGGGAAAGAAATGGTTACAAGACTGTGTGTTTACGTTTCTCCATCCAGATTTTAGTTCACTTTCATAGAAACAAAATAAGAACCTTAAGCACTGTTCAATCTGGACATTTTCTGTGGTCACGGAAGCACGGTGCAGACAATGCCAGCACAGCAGTGGTCATGAAGGCAGCACCAGTACAGCTAGGGGAGAGACTGCACCCAGTGCCAAAGTTACATAAAAATCATCCATTATGTAGACACGGAGAGAATGAAAACCAGGAGGATACAATGGCTTCTGGCTCAGCTCTGTGCTCTCCCTGCTGGCAGTGAGCATTATACAAAGATACAGGTGTTATGATAAACCAGCTCTGTGGAAGCCTGTGTCCACTTCCAGAGGATTTAATGAAGTCATGTTTCTTTACACCAACCAACAGCAGCGTGTCTCCTGCTACAGCTCACTCTGCACTTCCTTACTTCTGCTTTATTCCTCTGTCTGTGAAGGGGTGGTAAGAGTGAAAACACAAAAGGTGGAAAAATCCCTGACAGCTTCAGTTCTGTTTGTAGGTTACAGGGCATAGGGTAGGAGAGATGTACACTGTCACTGATGGGGCCTGGAGTGGTGCCCGTGTAACCCAGAGTGACAGTCTCCTTCCCCTGAGCAGTAACTACTGGGAGGGATGCAGCAGAGCCTTACCTCCCACTTCCCATCTGGAAGCATCATCTGTGTCTCATGACACAGAACAGGGGATTAGCATATGCTCCAGTTTTCTACGTGCTGATGACATCCCAACGACAGGCAATGGGAGCATTTCTGAAGATCTAAAAAGCCACCCACAAAAACCAACCAACCAACCTGTTTACTAAGCTTATGACAGTAATTCACCCTGTCAAATTTAACTGGAGCAAAATTGCTATGGCTGCAGAACATGCAACACAGGCACCCCTGCATCTCAGAATGAAACCTGGCCAGGGAAGAGAGAGAAACAAAAGACATGTTGAAACACAACCAGATTGCATTTCCTTTGCCAGTTTAGGTGCTGCCTTTACTTACTACACAAAGTGAAGATTTCCATGATGAACTCGGGCATAATTTGTCATTTCCCCTGCAAGCTCTGCAGGAAGCCCCCCAAGGCTTCCTGTGCTGTGGGCAGGGGTGGCTCAGCCCTTGTCCCACATGCCTGGTCCTTGTGCAGATCCCGGCACAGAAACATCAGCCTGCCTGGACTACGCACAGGTAAGACTGTATCCCAGAATTCCAGCAGCCATTTCAATGGGGAGTTTTCACAAGGGCTCTGATTCCCAGGACGAGGTTTGATGGACATCACAAGGGATGAGGATGCTTATTTTCATCTCAGACACGGTGAGATGGGGATTGTTTGGCTTTGCCCTGGCTTGGCTCTGCAGCTGGAGCAGCACAGCCCTGGAAGCAGTTTCCCAACCTTTCCTCCACCCAGGCCCAGTTGTGTTGTGCAGTGTCAGCACAACCAGCAAATAGGAATGGTGCTACAGAGAGAGCAGAGGCGGAGACTTCCCCTTTTGCTCCCTGTATTCACTGCTGTGGAATAACTTTCCAGAAGGAAGCATCACTACACCAGCACCACAACCACCTTGAGGCTGCACTGTCCTGTGCTGAGCTTTCTTTGGCCACTGAGATGAAAGCAGTAGTTGCCAAATACAATTACAAAACAATGAGAGGCAAAAACCGTCATACACCCAGGACCAGACTCGCTGGCTTTGCCAAAATGTCACTTCAAGGTCAACGTATTTATTTATCTGGAAGAGGTCTGCAGTGATTTAAGGCAGATAAAATCTGTCTTTCCTTTTTTAATGTTTCTTTTTCCCCCACCCAGCCTGAACTGTGAGCAATGAACGATGAGTGCTGTGGGGATGTGTGGACAGGGGGTGTTGTAAGGACAGGGTCAGGGCATGACAGCTCTGTGAGAGTCAGGTATTCAGTGATTTATTATGCGAGCTGTTCCAATTTGAACTTACTGAGCAAACAAACCATTAAAGGCTTCCATGTTCAGTTGGTCTAAAATGATTTGCCTCTCAATTCCCTCTTGCCTGAAGAAAACGCCACGACATTTAATTGCTATCATTCTAATTGCTGAATGTTTTAAATCTAGTTTGGCAGGCCAGGAGAAAATCTGAAGTAACTAAAAGGAAGAAAATGGAGTTAACATTTTTATGCAAGCCACTCTTAGTTACTTGGCACTAAATTTATGCAGAATGGACCCAGTTATTAGAGAATCAAAGAGCCTGTGGGATCCTCTCGCATGTCAGCAGGAATGAGCTCACTCCTGGGCTGGCCAGGACAAAAAGATGTTAGAGGGTGATGGAGGAGAAAGGAGTGGGAGAACCTGGCACCAGGGGGTTGGTAACACTGCGGTTAACAGTTTCTCATGGTTTAGCCTCAAAAACCTCTTTTCCTGCTTGTAGTACTTTCTGACTAAAACAAGAGATTGAGAAAAGGTCTCAAGTGTGTTAAATAGGAGAAGACAACATGATTTTGGATTGAATGTCTCATGTTCGCTCAAGTCTGTCATGGTTTTGTATTCTGTCAAAACCTCAGAATGTTTCTGTTTTGGTTTGGTTTTTTATGTGCTGCCGGTTTCCCTGTTTGATAAAATATCAATCCAACCGCATTGTTTAATAACGTGACCAAGCCTGGAAGGTCATTCCTGGCCCTGTTTTCCCTGGAAGAGCAAGAGGTGTGTTGCAGACGTCAGGCCCCAGGAGGCACGTCTGGCCATGGTGGGGTGTGATGCTCACCCACAGACCCCATGGCTTTCTGTGCTCCGTGCCTTTTTCAGTTTCCCTGGGTGGGTCTCAGGAATCACAGACACTTGAACAGGTGACTTCATGGTACTTGCAGAAATCTTTCAACTGCATCTATCTGTCAGCTGCTCCTGGTGAAAAACAGATTCTTTCCATGCATGTCACTGCCTTACATCGCATGGAAAAATAGCCTCTCGGTTCCAGAAGCAGTGGCTGTGGCTGAGGGGACTCCAGCTCGTGCTCGCTGGAGGCTGCCCTCACTGTGCTCCAGAGCCCACTGACCCTCAGCACCACAGGGGGACCAGCTCCATCGTGGGGGACAGGGATGTGCACCTGCACCCCCAGGCCACTGGCAGCCACCCAGAGAGAGTTCCAGCACCAGGTAACACACACAGAGCCTACTCCTCATCTCACATGCGCTGGTACCATGAGTGACACGAACATCTGTATGCGAAGGCTTTATACAGCACCTTTCTCTTAGCATGAGAGGGAGGGGAAGCAGACCTGTTACTGATACGGCACCTGATAAAGTGCAGGCCCATTTCCCCTCTTACTGATTCCAGTCCAAGTCAGAAGTAACTCTAAGATACAAGAAGGTTTAGATAAATTTAGAGGCAGTGCTTATGTAAGAATGTTAAATCCGTGCCTCAGT